CTCAAATTATACTTTCGACGGTGGCAGCCACGATTGATCAACTTTGAAACCTTGCCCAATCCCTAGTTTGGTTACGGTAAACGGCGGGCTAAGATCCAGATTGATTACGACTCTGGTGGCTGTTTATATATGTATTGCAAGTTCGTTGACTTAAGAATGCATACACAAAAGGGGTTCTGAGAATGTAAACTGCCGATGCGCTTTAGTCGTGTAGCGATGAAGTAAATTGAGGATCTTTGGACAGGTGTGAGAGAACTCACAGGTTCGTGACAACTGTTATCAATGTCGGAAATTTGATGTAATAATTGTAAACTCTAAGGGTCAAATTTTCATTTTTGTTCTTGTGTTATTTGACGTTTTCAATATGTACTCTCTTTCTCTCCAACGAGCTCAGAACGGCTTTTTTTTAATCTTTCGAGCGACTAAAACACGGGCAGCATTTAATGCCTCGAGGGTGCCCCGAGGCGGTCCAGGGTTGTGAGACAGAGGAGGAGCGAAGAAGGAGAGAGATTCACATCATGAAATACAATACACAATCAACATGCAAAAAAAATGATATATAGCCTACCTGGAATTTACCAGATTACTTCAAGAATCAGAGGGTGTATATATTTGTTGTGCTTACTTTCAATAAAGGTACCGACGAGCATATCCCAAGTTAGATTTTCTCTTATTTCGCCATTCACGGGAATTTTCACGACCATTTTTATACAGTGGTTACGTTTTTAGAATCTGTATAAAAGGAAAGAATCATTGTTTGTTAATTGTTTTGTTTTTTTGGTTTGTGATAGGTTGTGTGATATTGTTATGTGGGTTCTTCTATTCTAACTGTCATAAGATCAAAATTTAGATTCATACACGTAATTTCTCTAGTGAATTGGTGGTGAGTTGTCACTGCAATTATACTCTTATCCCGGAGTAACGGGAAAGTTGGCGCATCGGCGTGTTTTCAACTTACTCGAACCCTTTTGCTTGTGTATCGATGGGTCTCGTTCTAGTTATTACTTATTCTATCGAAAACCGTATAAAACTTAATTATGGTGGGCCCGTATAAATGGATAAAATGACCAGGACGAAATTGGCATAGATGCTGACATAAAGGCACCAGTGTCAAATATTTTCAAGACTAGAGGAGAACTCCAAGTCGAGCCAAGTCATGTTCGGGGTAATTTATTGGACAATTTATTATTTCAAATTGTATCAGACAGAAGCAGTTAAGCAGAAAGGAGAAAATTTCTTTTAAGTTTGATCTTCTCTGCTGCTCATGTTTTGATTCTTTTGATATCTTAATTTACTCGTAGTCCATAACATCTTATATTATGGGGCTGTTTTGTGTGGTTGTAAAATTAGGTAGTAATGTCGGTAATTTATTTTGTGGGGGTTACTGTTTTTTATTTTTGCTGTTATATTGAAGAGCATAAGACTTGATTCTGTGGATTGAATATGGTACCGTAATAACTTTTCGAAAAGCTACTATCAAGCCAGCTTGTTACTTATCGGTTAGCCAAAATAGGGGAGTTTTTGTGGCTCAGCTGTTCGAGGGGAAAGACATATATAAAGCCGCACACAACAGACAGAATAGAACAGACACGAAAAGAGGAATATCTTAGAACTATTCTCACGAAAATTAATTTTCAAGACTATTGAGTCTTAAATGAGAGAAAACATTTGTTCAATCGATTCAGAGGAAAAGAATGTAATAAATTGGTCAGTATATTCAGGTCAATCGATATGACAAGAGATGCAGACATTCATGATACATCAATCCACAAATCACTATTATCATGTGCCAAAAAGAATCAACAAAATAACATTACGATAACCAAAATTTGATTATATTTTCTGAAAGATTCGTACAGGCTTGGGCCCCGTCGAGATATCAATTTCTGAGTTTCTAAGCTCAATTAAGCCAAAGCACTTTCGCTATCTGTCGTACCATGTCAAATGGGACTTTAGGCCTTCGTTGTTGTTAACTTCTCCTTTTGCTTTGTAAATGGTAAAGTAAAGAGGCTTAAGGCGGAGTTTTGCTTAATATTTGCTAGCAATGCAGCGAAAATATACTTTGGCAAGTTACATGACCTCTATAGGATGCAAGTTAAGGCTCGTCTAACCGGAGCTCGAAACGAAAATTGACTATTTTTCAAACTATATTGCCTAACTGTCGATTTTTTAAAAATGTATTTTTTGCATTTAATTTTAGATTAAAAAAATAGTTATGTTAAAACGTCTTAACTCTTATATAGGGTGTCAACCCATTTATAAGGCGATTCTTCCGAGTCCAACATTTGGGAGGTTTATTGAATTTTTACGATTTAAGTGATTTCTTAGAAAGGGAAAATGAACCTGTGCATTTTTAAGCGTTCTTTCACGGTATCGAGGAAAAGTGTAAAAAGTCATTATATTGGACCATCTTTTATTATATGAAAAAAATATTTAATGCGTAATCATGTGATACGATTGGACGGGAAAACGCTGTTAGAAGCTGAATTCTGCGAACTGAACACAAGAGAACGTGCGCAGGAATATTATTCTCCCTCCTCGGTCACAAAGTCTATACAGTTTTACTATCTATGTTGATTATTACGCTGAATAAAGCTCCGTAAATCTAAATTAATCTCAAAGTATGTTTTAGTTACAATACCAAAAACCCCCTAATATGTATCTTGTGTTTGTCTCTTTTTCATAGATTGCACTCGATTTATAACGCATGCATTTTACGTCATGTGACATGACCATGCGCACGAACTCAGAAACGCCAATAGGGGGCAGAAGTATATCTCAAGCACTAAAAAGCAGGTTTTTTTAATCGAAGGATGTAATATTAGATACGACTCAAATGCGTTTGTGTACACTCAGGTTTGCACGCAAGGGTTCGCGGGTGGAGTGCACACAGGACATTTGCCCAACGATGTGAAATAAGCTCGTATTTCTCTGTGTCCCTTTCTTCAGCTCT